AGAGAGAGACATTTATATTTGAAACTGATTTATTGCAATAATTGGTCCAACATGTCACAAAAAACTTCTTTTTTTTTTCCAAAGGAGCAGTATTAATGTGGTGCATGCATTTTTAATAGTCAGTTACATCTCCTATATGACATGCTCCACAGATACACATTTTAATGAGCTGTCCTTACGCCACAAATTGACTTCCAGAGACACCAGTTAGAAGTGTTAATACATTTTCCTTCATTTACATTTTGTAGAGAAACAGAGACAAATGGGATGTTTGTATATAACAGCTTCACAGACTGCTGTTGTTAATGGTATATATTCAGTGCCACTCCTCTCCAAAAAGTTTCTAATAATCTAATAAAAATGCCTTCCATGGGTCTCATTAGAAAGCAACTGATAGTGAAATGCAAAAATCTAACACCTTTATTGTACTGCGCTAATTATTCCCTGATAGTTTAGAAACCTGAACTGCAGCCTGAGGTTTCTACTAATTGCCTTGACTGACAATACCCATGGGGTCAATTTTAATTTGGGGCCATTTAGAGGTAAAACAGCATTCTAAACCACACACACACACACACACACACACATACAGCTCAGAGATATACTCTGGAAGGATATAAAGGAAGGATATAAATATGCAGATTTCATTTTTCACCAGTGTAACAATCTGTCACTCAATGTTTGTGCTAAGCTGTGTGTCACAGTGTAGATATGTGTGGATAGGTGTGTGTGTCTGTGTGTGTGTGTGACACCACCTGTCGTTGTGAGTATAAATGGCAGAAATGGATCTGGTCTATATTTTATAGATGTGAGGAGAGGACACTGAGGTTTAATGGGATATTAAGTACATCTTTCACAATCCCGAAGTACTAACTGATGCTTCATAGGATGGCGGATCCACACAGGTGGCTCACTAATCGTTATTTCTAGCTTTCAAACCTTATACTATCACTTTATGTGTTACTGATTGTATATGTGTTGTGGAATTTACTGAAATGTATAAGTACAGTTATTGAACCATTGCTAAAAAATGGTTTGTAGTAACTCACAAGGGTCATTCCAACTGTCCAGTCCTGGGGACTGTAGTGTTCTGATGGGATGGAGGTAATACTGTACATGGCAACTGAGTGTCCTCTGTGAAGACTGGATGAAGATTAATCAGAGTTAAAAAAACAACAACAACAACAACAAGGTAGCACAAAAATGAGTAGAAACTGATAACTGTGATGCAAACACAGCTGTGCCTGTGCAGGTGGAGAGCTACTACCTGAGTGAGGACATGCGACTGATCATGAGAGATGCACAGCTGAGCCCTACCGTCCACAGCCAGAGACCACAGCTAATTTGAACAGAGACTACAGTAACTTTTTTGCCAGAAGAAAGCATGTCTTTTGTGAGTGTGAAAGTGTGTGTGCATGTCTTTGACATTCCCATAGCATCCTTCCTTTAATTCAACAGCCACTAGCCCTATTAAATATCCCTGATCTGTGACCATGGCATTTACTTCTCCCTCTCTATCCTTCCCTTCATCTCCGCTGCCAAACACCACTCACGGGGATGTCTGCCCTTTCATCAAGGGAGAGCGTATCTGTGCTTGTGTGTGTTTGTGTCTCTGTATCTTCCCTCCATAATCGCATGCTGAAAATCCTAATTTAAAAACACACTCACAAAAAGATACTGCAAACAGGCTTCAAAGACAGGATTATCACCGAGAGCCTGGACAGGGAGTTAATGTCACTTGGTACACCCACAACAGCCCTGGCTGCTCTGTGTATTTGTGTTAAAGTGTATGTGGTGTGCTGAACTTGTATATACGCCCGTAGAAACAGCATATGTAGCATATTTGCATTTGAAAAGTTTGAGTGTTTTGATGTAAGAAAATTTAGGATTAAAGTGCATAATGTTCTGACAACAGCTGTATCTGTATGATGTGCAAATGTCTCATGTGTAGCCTACTCTTATGTATCTACATTAACTGAATGATTTTACTGTGCATCATGTGGTGTGTTTGTGACTTCATTCCTCGATTAAGTGACATTAAGGAGGTTTTTTTATTTTATTTTATATTGGTTTTTGTTCCTGGTTGTTTGATTTATTGACCTAAATTCTCCTTAGCCTTAAAATCAGTCCAAGTCTGGTAGAGCTGTTAATGCACAGCAAAAAGAAAAAATAAAATGACTAAATCTAGACACTGCTAATGTTAAAGATGTTCAACACATACCTTGAACTATATATTTCCTTGATGCAAAAAAGTTTTCTTGTTTTCTTTTAGGACCCTGACCTTGTTACTGGAGAAACAAGAAATCACAAAGCAGTATATTTAAAAAAAAACCCAGAGACATTCGGCCACTTGTTTTGAGAAAACACAGGTTATAAGATTGAATATTAGCCAAACATACGTTTTGCAGAGTTCAGCTGCTGCCACTGTGCTGATAACGAGGTTCTCATTTACTCCTGTTTATTGCCAGCGCGCTATTTCCTGTGCAATCATAAATGGCTGGACTCACACTCACTTGCACATGTATCACCTTGTTAATGGGATGTTTACATGTGAGGCTGGATAAGAGGGGTGTAACAGAGTATGAGTACAGTATTCGGACATGGAAGGATAATGTGCCCTGAACTAATATGAACGGTTTCAACAATATCGGTTTGTTTTTTATCTCTTCATGTTCTCCTAGCAGAAAACTGCTAGACTACAACACCACAGATAGCATCCCATTAATTTCCTCACTGTCTCATAATGAGGTGTACAGTACAGGACCTGCACTAGGCTACCTATTAAATATGCTTGCAGGGCCAAGGCATAAATTGAAATAAAAAAAGTTTAAACAACATTTGGTGCTGTAGTTCATCTTTAGCTGCTTAATTTTATCCATTTTAACAATCAAGCAGACAAACAACTGCCTGGGAAGTGCAGCGTGTAAGTTCTTAATTCAGTCTAATATTAAAACTAATCCTAATGTATTACTTTGTTAACAATTTTACTCAACAGAAGTAACCTCTCCAAATGGAGTTTGGAGACTTAAATGAAAAAGGTTGGCCGCTAGTTTACTCCAGATGAACTCATATGAATCTGAAGTCTTTTGGAACTACATCCCAAAGCACCAAGGTCAGTTGCCATTAAATTATGGTGTTGTGTCAGAAGGTTTAAATAATTAATGAGGGCACTTCACACATCATGCCAGCTGTGCTAAACAATTTAGAAGAGGTTTAAACGTACGCTCTGCCGGTGAGTTGTTCAAGCAGGTGAGAATGCACATGAATATAATCCACTGAAAACATGGACCAGGATTTAGACTCGATATCATTGTATATCTTTCTTTTTTCTTTATTTTATTTATAGCAACATATTTGTTACCTCACACTATTATGCACCATGGTACATAAACTGCCTGTGCCAACAGCCAGCCCAGCAAGGCTTTGTGGGGATGGTTAGGGTGAGTTTGTTAAACTGGATGTAAAGACTTTGTAGCATCCTCCATCACAGTAACTATGGCTCATGTACAGGGAATGTATATCGTTATATACTGCATAGGTCCGAAGAGGGAAACAAATTGTAAAAATAAGTATATATAATATACTGTATGCTGTTTATACAAACAAGTAAATACAAAGATGTGAAACAGGCAAATTAGACACATACAAGGAAACTATAACTACTGAAATCCTCCAGCACTTTTGTCTTCATACATAAAGGCACCTCTCTCGTGCTATTAGAACACAGCCATATGTCCATTAAATCTCTCAGTACCCATCTTAGCAATACCGATTTTCAGTAATATAACCCGGCAAAGAGATTTACTCTAAAATCTTTCCTTCAGCGCTGTCCTGTGGCCATCCAGCATCATTCTCTAACTGGGCTACATTTACAGTAGTTCACAGAGATAAACTCACAGAGCAGCTAAAATATACTTTCACCTAGACATTTGCAAAATTACACCGATTTGTTTCAATTTCTCAGACCTCCTTCCTTTTTATAGCAGACTTAAAGATAGCACATTCATTCAAAGGGCATGCACCCATCCATTCTATTTTTTCTACAATAAGTAGGTTTTTGTTCATGCTACAATAATATTAACTGAATTTCAGGAAAGAAAAGGGCAAATCAGTGCATATTTCCATCCAGTACTGTTATGTGAATATTAGGATTTTAGTTTGTCAAGATAAACAGCTGGTGGAGGTAATTTTTCATCAAACCACTGAAGAAGACCTCCAACTCTGAAAACTTTGCTGAAAAGCTTATGTAAATTTGGCCTTTGTGCTTCTTTCATGTGTTCATTTGCAGAAGATTGAAGTGTCCTAACACAGATGTGACATTTTGGTCTGCTGCAATTTTCATTTTTTCAGTAGAGCAGAAAATGTAATGGACATTTAAGCCACATAATTCAATGGTATAGATAATGGAACGAGGAGTGGATATCATTGTGAGGTTGTCATATGGATATACAGATACAAGTGTTGCGTGACACCCCACTACATGCTACATGTGCTTATCTTTCATCACATGCTGACAAGTGTAAATCTGCAGTTATCTCAAGTGGTGTTTGTGTTTTTGTAATACTGATTGCAGAGCATTGTCTTTGCATTACTCTGGCCCTTGTTAAGGTTGCCATGACTGCTTTCTGATGTGCTAAGAGCTGTGCTGGCTGTGTCACAGTACTTTTAGTAAAGTGCTGTTGATCAGAGAAGAAAAGGAAGGTCAGGAAAGGAAATCAGGAAAATCAAGAGTGAAAGACTGGGGAAATAGAGATAAGCTAAGCAGAGAGAAGAATCCCAGATGTTTTAAGAACAAATGGAGAAATATAGGGTATACAGCAAGTAGCACACGTTCAAACTGAAGTAATGACATGCAAATAACGCCATCTGTGTTTCTGCCTCAACAAAACGCCCACAGCTCTTACACAGCTCTTGTGTTCCTGGACATTTAAACACACCTGCCTGACATCTTTGCACATAAACACACACACACGCACACACAGGTACGATGAAAGGCCCACCTTGCCAGCCGGGTTTGCAGACAGGCTTGACATCAATGTGGACAGGAACACTGTGCAAGGCTCTCTTCTGGCCGCAGTCCCAGGCCGTCACCTGGATCTCATACTGCTGCTGGCGGTCGTAGCTCAGCTTCTCTGTGTTCCGGATGTTACCTGGTGGGGAGAAAAGAGTCACTCAAGGTTAAAGTCAACCCAAATTGCTTTTTTAAGAAAGGCCCTTTCATTATAACACATTGCAGAGTATATTCAGTTCCTCTATTGTGTCTCATAATGAAAACATTTTGCTCTGAACAGTTTGGAACATTGAGAGAAATAAATTTCAATATTTGAAGATTTTAAAAGCTCAAAAGCTAAGAATCAGCTAACTTTGTCAGTGAACAATGTAGGCTGGAAGTCATGACATCATTCAATCACTGCTGGTCTATTCAGCCTTGTCTAAAGCATTCAGCTTGTGCAGCTTTGGTTTCTGTAGTTCAGTATTTAATTTATGTCCTCTGCTCCCAGATTCCCTATCAGTGGAAAAAAAACCAAACACCTGAGATTAATTTAGTCAATTAAGATGAATATGAGCTGTCTAACTGAGAGGGATGGGATGCTCTGTGACTGTGTTAGTGCCAGGAAGTTGTTGGATTATTCTACCTCACTATATAACAAAGTACAGACCTCTAAAGTTAAAGTATTTTGAGATTCTAGGCATTTGGTGTTGCATACTTTCCAGGCACACAGTATGCATCATTAGTCTTGTTAGAGATGAGCTAGGTTTGATCAGAACTGATCACCAGCGATGCACCAAGCACTCAGGACACGCTTCTATTTGACTTGTTCTACCATCATACAAACGTAATCATCTGATTGGAAATGAAAAACTTGAGAAACCAAGTATAAATGCAAATATAAGGAGTATGCAAGATATAACTTTAAGACACCCAAGATTTGGCCCAACATTGAAGAGGTGTAAACACATCTGTCACTCCGAGATGAAACCAAAAATATACTCTCCAGGCTGTTTGACAAATCATTTGGTGTACTGTGGGTTACATAATCACTGACAGCAATAAATAAATCCAATTTCATTGCTATTGATAGAAAAATGTGTTCAGTGAACAGTGAAAAAAAACCCCATCACAACCAGCATGTGAATAATGTGTTTGAAATATGTATTACTGATCATCTGTCCAGCTACCTAACCCCTTTCATGACAAGTCAAAATGTGAAATAGGTGAATTTCTCTAGTACATTATACTTTACATGTAATTTGATGTATTATTCATTTATTTGTTCTTTGATATGGACTAAGGACATTAATTCACAAATGTCTTCACACAAATTGGTGCACAGTGGAACAGAGGAACTTCAGGTAGTTATTATAAAACATATGTGCAATGTTTTTGTGCAACATTTTATTCTGTAGTAAGTATTAGCCTGGAGTTACTCTGTAATCTGTGATTTGGAGACTGACTTTATTGAGCCATAAAATCGCTGTGAGCTTTACAGCTAAATAAGCTTTATTTTATTGTAGTCATAAGAAGAGTGCAACAGATATGCTTAAGTGTTTACTCTCAACTTTCAAAATTACTTTATGAGAAAAGTGAGTTGGTAAAAGTATAGCCTTGTGCACTTTTGACTTGTTAGATAACACACAGTGCTTGTGCAGTGCTGCCTGTCTGGCTATACGGCGTGTGTGCTTGCTTATGTGAGTACTGGGTATTTAATTTTAATTTTAAACCATCATTATATATCGTTGTCAAATTAACTGATGCCTTAATATAATCACAGTAACAAATGAGATCATGGGTGGGATGATAGGTAGCCCATCTCTCACAAGTACTTTGATTAGTGCTAATGTTTCTCAAAATTAAGACCATGTTTCCACTAAAGCCCTGCTGCTTCTTGATGCAAGAAAGGTGCTGGTACTTGTCCTCCTCTCACCTCTCTGGTATTACTTTTCTGAAAAAACAACATACCGCAGCCATTTTTGTACAGAGATCGCAGCAAACTGCTGATGCATTGACCCTGCTTCATGGCACCCACCCACTCCCACCCTGTGTTCATTTTACACCGCTGCCATAATCCCAGCACTAGAGACGTGATGCTTATCATGACATGCGATTGCTTTGTTTGTTCAGTATTAGTGTTCCAGGGGAAAAACACACACAGCATCGTGTATATGAAAACCCTGAATCAAATGTAGGGGGGGGGACGGACCTGAAGAGACCTTAGGTGAAACTGCATTGGACGAGTCAAAATATCTGCCACAAAAAAGTAACTTTTAACATTAATAAAGCATATAAGACAAACCTATCTGTGAAATACACAGATTTATTTTTGTCTTTTTCAGATTGATAATAGTCACCTAAAACAATATTACAATTGGTTTCAATCATCCATTCAAATCAGTGAGATTATGGAGAAGCGAGCGGGAGGGGACCTGAAGAGACCCGAGTCAGCAGAAGAGACCTGAGTTCTCCCAGAAGCAACAAATAACCGTTCATCCTATCAATAATTCTAATCTTTTGCTATATCAGTTCTAATCATAAAACAAACTACATATGAAGTAAAACAAAAGTTTGACACCGTCCTCTTTCTTGTCTTTTTCACACTTTTTTACCCCCCTCCCCCGGTTGCTGGATGAATCCCCTAAAAAAGCACGGAGTAATTTGCAACACTGGTTCACATTCACAGCAAAACAAATTACAGTTACAAAGCCATAAATATGAACATTGGCCTGAATGTCTGGGTTATACACACAGTTGGTTGCAGCAATGATTCTTCGTCAAGAGACAGAACTCTAAGTAGAAGCCATATGTCTTTGCTGCCAAAGTTGGATTCCAAGTGTTTTCTGATTTTTGTCTCAACTTTCACGACAATTCAAAGACAACTTATGACAAGTCAAGTCATGTGGATCAAATTCACACCTGTGCCTTTTGTGCTAAAAGAATCCGGCCTACCAATGTCAGCTTGATCTACAATAGCCTGCCAGCTTTGTAAGAGATAGCCCTTATACTGTATACTAATGAATCAAAATGAATTTGTAATGTTACAATGCTGCACACAGCACCATAAAGAAACAAATAACCCACTTGACTCTATAGTATAATCATCATCCAGACATTATAATAACTGGGAGTCTCTTGCCTTGTCAGGAACCATGAACCCATTTACCAAGCCAGCTTCTTTCTTATGCACAGAGCACAAAGGGAACTCTTGTAGTCCTAATGTATCTCTAAATATTTGATGAGTCTTCTTCTAGAGACAAATAACAATGCTTTACACACAGGCTGGCCGGGCAATTTAACACAGAACACTTGCAGAGTGCATTAAAAAGAGACTACTGACCCATACTGACAGTGAACTGAAATGTACCTGGAAAGAGTTATTGCAGCTTGTATTACCATGCTGGGTGATGCTTGAGGTTTTTGTACTGTGGGCCGACAGGTGCAGAGGGAGCCGAATGTTGATAATGTGGTATATTGGGATATCAGTATGTGAGTGGGACAATTAGATGCAATTCATATGAGGACAGTATTATTTACTCTCCCGTCTTCCTCATCACTCATTCTCCGTCTCCCTCTCAGCTTGTTAAGAATTCCTTCCCACCTAACTCTCCCTTTTCCTACTTTCCTGTTCCCTCTCAATGCACATCTCTCTCACTGTTTTGCAGCCTCATCCCATTTCACCGTTTGCTGCCTCATCTGTTGTGCTGTTCTTTTTTTTTTTTTAAATGACACACACAAGTGTACATGCACACTTGTAAACTCACACCCTTCTGTACGACGGAGGTTCCTATTCCCGCTCCTTCAATTACTACATCAGCTTATCCGTGTCAGCAGGCTGGGCGTGCTGTGACTGCTGGCAAGGGTGGCCAGCTAGTAAATGACTACTTTACCCTCCACCTCGTTCTCTGTGTTCTCTCTAGCAAAGGCACATAAACACACACAAGCAACCCATCAGGATGTGAATTCCCTCTATCATCACTTTATATAATTATACTTTACGACAGAGCATATCTAATTTTTTAAAGCTGTTTTGCCTCTGTCTTTGTTTAAAGGACAATGTTGTTATTCTTTACCAACTTACTGTCAACAAATCATATAAAAAGCTCCTACCACATCAGAGAGCAGATGGCACTTTTATCAAGTACCAAAAGTAGTTGTTCATTAGGGGGGGGAAATGCAAGAAACTGACAGATACAGTACTAGTGTTTTTCAAAGTGTCTTCCCCTGCTGAGATGTTTCCCCCGTTAAAAGTTGCAGTGACTTATGTCCTATTTCACATTGACCATCCAACATCTTTAGTCTTTAATACATCCATGGTGTCACTGAACCTTCGAGAGCAGTTAACCTACGTTATGTGAACAACCATAACATTAACGTTGAGAGGCACCATGCGTTTAATGCTTGTTGCTAGGTTAATCCACAGGATCACAGACAAACTATGTCCATAGACAGGACAGTATGCCTCAATATCAGGACGTCTTTCATTATGTCACAGGAAAGTCTTTCAATTATGTGCTTTTAACTTGTATATATTTTTGTATTTATTTTGTTTTTATTGCTGTGCACATCAGCGGCCACTGGGCTGGAGTCAAATTCCTTGTATTTTTGATAATACTTGCCAATAAAGTTTATGCTTATGTTGCAAAACAAAAATCACTCCTCTTCATAACATGAAATATGCTGTGATTTTCCTTTTATATACTTTCTTGTAATATCAGCACAATACGGATTTTACTCCATCTTCATTCGGTTTTTCACTTCCTGCCTTCCATCTGAGTTTCATCATAAGAGTCACTGGTTTGCAAACCACCTACTGCATCTACATTTTCCTCACTTGTGTCTTTTCCTTGCATCTTGATTCCACCCACGTAAAATGCGGGAAAAGGTGCAAGGAGAAACTGTGAGGGGAGAGGACCCAACTGAAGAAACACAGTTTAACTGACATGAGATGTCCTTTCCTCAGGACCCTAATTTGAAGTGGCTCATTATAAACAGACTTCCAATAAAGGGGTGTGTCAATTAGTAACAGACTTCCATGAAGAATGCACTCATGTATTCTCGGTTATATCTCCTCCTCGATCCTCAGAGCAGAAATAAGAGCTTTGGCATTTCCTTCATCATGGCAGACCGGAACGACTGCCAGGTCGAATGAGGATCGAGGAACAATAAAATAAGAGAATTGGGGTTCACCTTATGAAAGAAATTTGCTCTGCAACATAGAGAAACAGCACAACTGGCATTTAATCATAACTGTGGCAATTATCTGGGTAATAAAGTCAACAAAGCTATGCCAAAAAAGAGAAAATGTCTTGAAAATACTGCTTCACACTTCGCAGTGACGATGTGCAGCCAGTTGTTTAGCTCAAACTTGCAGAGTACTCCTTGTAGTTGGTCCGGGCTGAGGTCAGATCATGTTCCCACCCCAACAAACTGCTCCGGAGTTCATTTGGGACTGGACAGAGATCATATCCAGTGAAGGGTCTTGGAGTGGTTATTTTGGTCTGCACCCAAGTGTGATCACTATATTCAGAGTCAGACCTGCTGAATCAAACTGCACCACAGTTTGATTGGGGCAACTAGACTAAACAAGCCAGGAGTGAAAACTCCCTAAATCTTGCTAATTTCTTAAAAATAGGAATAAACTATATTAGGCTTTGGATACAGAGGCAATAATTGTTGGCATAACAAATTTATTTAACATGCAGGTTTTGGTCTTTCCATGGAATTTACTAACAATTACAGAAATATAGAATATTATCAGCTCTACACTTTTTAGTTAGTTTATCCCTGCTAAGGTTTACCATCACCTTCTCTCTCTGATCCTTCCTCTTGCCCTCACAGCCAACCTCTCCTCTACCTTACTCCATCTTCTTCCTTTCTCCCTCAGGTGCTCTTGAGTTCAAGAGCTTTTTTCCTCAATGGTCAATGGCCGAGCAAGACCCCTACAAATGGAGATAGAGCGAGGAGAGCACAATCTGGCTGCAGCCTCTCGCTGTATCATTCACAGTGCAGTTTGGCCCTAACCTCACCCAGTCAGCCTTTTTATTGCACCATCTCAGCAGTCAACAACACTTGACTGTTGGCAGCAACAAAAATGTATATAGTAATATCCTTTGCAGCTGTGTATCCTAAGGAAAAAAAAAATGTATGTGAATTTTTGAGTCAGAGAAGCCTGCTGTATTTGAATTGCTTGACAGACTTAAGAGATTTAAAGTCCAGAGCTAGAGTGTAAGCTTAAGCAATCTATTACATTCTACTGAACTACCCAACAAGTGTCGAAACAAAAAAGAAAACTATTCAGCGATTAAAAAGAGCTATTGCAATTAAATTATGATATTCAAAAAGGTCATTCAGACATAAAATTCAAGAAAATACTCCACCTCTCTACAGATTTGCATTGATATCTCCCACGCATACACATAACATTTTGGTATTTCTGTGGGTGGGTATAACAACATAATATCCTTATTTGTAGAATAATGCAGTCACAAAGTACAAGTGGCAACTTGATAAAGCTGACAAAATTTGAGAGGGCCAACAAAATTTTTTGCATTTGTCTTTGTCAGTGTGTATGTTTCTGTGTTTTTATGTTTGTGTGTGCACAGACTTCTGTGATCTGATTTGTGGAGATTGATGACTCTTTGAGCAAACCTTGACTTGTCCTTGGAAAGAGCAAAGAACACATTTTATTTGTCAGAGTATTAAGTTGTACTACCAGGGTATATACAGGTATAGGTATGTGCATTATAACCGTGTGTGTGTGTGTGTGTGTGTGTGTGTGTGTGTGTGTGAGAGAGAGAGAGATTTGGAAGATCTTTTTGGACATGCAGGAAATCAATAAGTGAAGCACTACTGCTATAAGATGAAGCAGGTTGTGAGAAAGTGTGTAGACAGAAAGTTAAATGAACGTTAAACAGCAGACTGATATTAAATGGTTTCTGTCTGGCAAGTGCTAACATATCTGTGACTGATGCTAATATTTTCTATTTCTTCTACTCACCATTGCGATCTATAGCGAAGGGTGTGTTGGTGGTGCTGATCTGGTAGTTACAGATCTGGCTGTACTGTGGGGAGCAGTCCTGGTCAGTGGCCTCCACCTGCAGGATGCTGTCATAAATTTTGCCCTCTGTCACTGAGGCATGGTACTGGGGCTCCCGAAACACCGGGGCAAACTCATTCATGTCGTTGACCTGAATGTGCACCACAGCCCTACAGACAGAAAGGGGCAACAGAGGGGAGGAAAGTACAGATTAGTGCAGAACGGTCATTTGTTTTTATAAAAGCTGGCCCTTTTTCTTTGATGTATAAGAGAAATAAATTATTCATTCACCTGTTTGGTTAGATTTCATATTTCAAAAAAATAATAAAAAAAAATCACATGGATTGTAATATCTCATCAAGTATGTGATAGACTGACACACAATTTTGGTACAGACATTCATGGCCCCCAGGTGAAACCTGACCATTACTTTAACGCCACCGTGAGGTTCACATTTGTAGTTTTGAGGGAAAGATCTCAATTATTTGATGGTTTGCCATGAGCTTTGGTGCACAACTTCATGTCCCCCATAGGTTAAACTGTAGCACTGATTCTCCAAGTCTCTAATCTCTACTAGAAAGATGATCCCCATTCTTCCAGAAGATATTCCCTCATTTGGTGTTTTGATGATGGTGGTAGAGAGCACTAACACACCAGTACAAAATCTCCTATAGGTGTTCAACTGGGTGGAGATCTGGTGCCTGTGAGGGCCATATACATGATTCAAATCAATTTTATATTCACCAAACCATTCAGTGACTGGCTCATGCCTTGTGGATGGGGGCACTATCGCCCTTGAATAAACCACTGAGCAGGAGTGTGCAACAGTCTTTGTCACCAGCACAAAACTGGGTGCAATGTTCAAAAGTGCAATGGCAAGAAGGATCAAGATATTTAATCACTGCAGCCTCTCAAATTGTTTTTAACTTAGGACAAATGAGGGCAGAGTTTGCACTGGCAGTGATGAATTAGTTTGTTAAGGAACAGTCTCAAAGTGCATTGCATATCACACTATCTGACGTGACCCAGTGGATTACATTGATTGTGTTACTATGGCAAAATAATCTCCTGGATCTCTTTTTCTACCATACACATTTCTTTGGGAGCACTGAACCGCACTAACTAATCATTCAATAAGTCATCTATCAGCTGCAATTCATGTTAAGTCACACATCATGTAAAAGCCCAACATTCATCACTTTAAAATGTTTTCATCAATACTCGCCAACAGCCAGAAAGCAACAGATTGCGCAATCAGTCCTTCAGTTCATTGACTGACAACCAGTGATGGATGACAATGAAACAGAATAGGACAGAGACAAGTATGTGGTTTATAGAATTAGCCCATGTGTGTATGGCAATGATGGTGAAATGATCCTATTAAAAATAGCTGTAATATTTCTCCAACCTGTGATTGCCTAGAGATGGAAAACAGACAGCAAAGACAGTGGGGAGGCTGAGCTCAGGCAGAATGGATTTCCACACTGCCTTATCACCCCATGCCTCAAATACACAAACCTTCTGACATTAGTTGTTTTTTGAGCCACTTTCATATTCTGGAACAAACATGCCAGGTGGGGTTTGAGATATTGTCATTGTCGAAAACATAACTTAATTGTCCATGTTTTTTGTTTATGCGTTGTCCTGGCTTCCCGACCAGTCTTGTGTCAAGATGTGTTTCTCCCGTTCAAAACTTGGTTTTATGTAGCCCCACCCTCAGTGGTTGTGGTTAGGATGATGTTAGGGCAAACAGATTTCGACACACCACCACCAACAGGAGCTGTACGAGTTCACGAACTATCTTTTCCTTTTCAGGAGGCGGCTCTAGGGTTTTTATAGTTCTGAAACAATTACAGACTATTTGGAGTTAGGATGGGTGCAAAGCTAATCTAGAGGTACCCAAGGCAAAACATTAAATGGCTGGAAATGAGCATGTCATGGGCACTTTAAAGACTGCTGCAGGTGAGGTCGAGGTGCTTGACACCTGGCCCTCCATCTTTCATTGTATCTCAGCATGATCACACATGTAGCTTTCCTTTACTGTATGTTTATCTGCATCATTCAGTGTCACTAGTTTGGTTATTTAAACATATTACCTAAACGTCACTCCAAGACACAAACCTCTGTCAAAAACCAAGCTGCTCAGTTTCCTCTATAACACTATTACACCTAAAATCAAGATTCGCATGATAGCTACATACTATCCAAAGCTAACAGTTCATCACACTGTAGCATTTCAGCTAGCTTTAGCAATATGACCTAGCCACTCGGCGAACAGATTAGCTTATCAATTACACCAGTAAGCTGGAGGTAATGTAATAACAGGTTATGAATGTTAAAGGCATCTATAAGACTACATGTAGCAAAAAGTTATCAGACAAGTCTAATTCAATCCTAAATTATGAATGAATAATATTGCTAGTTAATTTGAATGTAGGCTAACTATTTTTCTATAATATTAAATTGTCATAACTAAATACAAGACTGTCATCATATAAAAAGGAACTTTGTGTGTTTAAGAAGAGCCATTATTCACAAAATGAAGCTGTTTGAGGAAACTGGTTTTCAAGGCCTTTAAACGACCTGGATACTCGCTCCTCACAGGTACAGAATACACAACCAAACATGCATTTGACAGTGATTAATGACTTAGGATTAGGTTTGGTGGGATGTTAATGGTCATGCTAACAGCAGTAAGTTGGTGATAAGAAGTACTGACAAATGATGGCTGTGCCAGTGTGTGCAGTACATCCCACAGCCAACCTTGTTTTGTCATATTAACAACGTTCTCATAAACATTACCCTCCTGTATCCCCCGCACCCCCACCTGCACTGAGAGAGCAAACATATGTTCTACACCTTTGGGTCTGCTGTCTGTTTACAGTATGTATTCATGTGCAAAGATTTATGATATAACTGCTGTAAAGGAAATAATTGTGAATATCTTATTGTGACCATACATGCAAGTGTGTGTTTCTCTGCTGATGGCACACATTTGGCTGAAGCAGACACCCGAGTCTTTATGTTGCTGGAACATTGCCAAGTTGAGTTCATGGATGTCATCCCTTCCTATGACAGGCCTCAGCTCATAAACACAGGGTTCACAGTAAGTCAGGGTGACACAGAGAGACAGTGGGGGGTTAAGTGACTACATGGATGCAAACAGGATCACAACACCACCAAACAAAGTGGATAAAAAGTAGCACCACTGGGGTGCTATTTGGGGAAAAAAGCAAAAGGATTAATCAATTGTGTCAACTAAATGAATGAGGAAATACAATCTAAGGCAGCGACTTCACACAACTTTAAAATCTTCTGCATTGTAACGCAACCAAAATGCACAGCCCAAAATAATATAGTACATAAGGTCATTTCGTATCAAATACCGGTAGCTCTATGCTGTACGTGTTTCTGTCATCTGCAAAATAATACCACTTTTCATTGGCTAATATATTGTGCATGACATTGAGAAGCACCAACATAAATCAGTGAGGTGGCTTCAGGCTGTGCAATACTTTAAATTAAAAAGTTATGATAGAAAACAATCTGACAGATTCTGATAAAGACATAGATCACAGTAATACAATATGTGATACACGTTCAACCCCTGTTCATATTAGGCAGCTCTCACAGGTCAAGCTCTGGTCGCCAGAGTTAGCAGAGACTCCAATCTGCAGATGTAGTCCATGCACTTGTGGCTAAAGAGATGTTACATGCTCACGCTGAGAGGATAGAAGTATTTGCTGACACATGTTGAACCCCAGCCACTGATGCTGATTTGCAGAAACAATTAGAAACCAGGTTCATTTTAAAGCCAGGTGATGCATGTTAATGCCAGGTTAGTATTGTTCCCACCTTATTACATATTCATCTAATTATTTATCAGCACTCAACTAAACACTACCACTCAGTCATTGCTGAATGCTTCTTGTGCATGAACCCACCCACACACGCACCTCCCCACCTAGTACAAAGGCAAAGACCTCAGTTATTCTTTGTCAAGAATTAGTAGCGATGTTGAATCATCAGTGTCCTTGTGCAAGACTAGAATAGAAATAAACCCCCCTGACTATACCAATGGGCTCAAATGCACAACACAACACAGGAAATCCCTCTTCTGCATTGACTAGCACCCTGAAGTGCTAACATGGAACTCTGTAGGGGCCCTGTGTAATCTTAATACAAGGTGATTATAGTGCATGGTAATCCTGTTCAGTGTTTAGATTTGTGCCCAGATCCAGCTGATGTCATAGCAGATAGTATTGATCAAGTCATTGATGGATGGCTTTAACTATTACCCCACAGAACAGAGGAATATTGATAAGGCGATACACAAAGGAGTTCGAGCTATAATCTGTGATGTACTTAACAAGGAGAATGGGTGTTTTACCATGATTTAATATTTTATTTGCTGGACTCTGCTGACAAACAACTAAGCATCTGCTTACGTGAGGCAACGCCTGATCATGGTTTGAATCCGGGATGGGAACGAATGCCACTTTGTTTCATCTGGTATCCAAAGCAGACAAGCACAGATGGTGCTGTTCCTGGCTGTGCATATTCATAATTAAAACACTGAGACTATACTCTCCCATTACATTATGTTAGTTGAAGATAAACATAGTCCTACACTAGATGTTTTTATTTTTCTCACCAGGAATAATAATCACGTCAACTAACAGGTTTTGACAGAATGAGGTTTCTCTTATATTTACATCAAGTGTGACAAGCATGAAGTTAAGAATCTTGGCAGAATAAAGCTCTGACACATTGACAGGGCTGCGATATCTGTGTGGAGTTCCCTGGTCTTCTCACTGCAGAAATTTATTATGACAGCTTATGCTAACAAGGCACAGCTTCTGGCCTACTTCTTCACTCATAAGAAAGTGTTCATGTTCTATGTGTTTTTACATGGATGTCTCTTTGTACGAGTGTGTTTGTGTGAATGTGGTTATGAGATGCAAAATAGGTTAATCTAACCCCAGCTACAGTAGTTGTCTTTTTTATGTGAATATCAGTTTAGATGTGACTCAGCAGTTAGGGTGTGTGTGCATGTGTATGTGCATGGCTGTCCTTCTGTTAGGTGAGATAATTAGCCTCTCCAAGCTGCAGCAAGGTTAGGACATACAGGCCTCTAAAATTCACTAATGATGACTTTAATAACTACTGC